ACCCTGGTCTTTTTTTTTTTAACTTTTGCAGTCTCTTCTAATTAAGGCCTCGAAACAAGTTTACAGAGACTAGGCTAGAGGTGTTTGAGAGACAGCACCCAGTGACGCATTTGACTGTATTCTTCCCTGATGAGAGCCAGCCAGAGTACCATAACAGTTACATCCATCTTTGCCTTTCTCCTACCTCCATGCAAATTTCCTGCATTACTAGGAACATCACATTCTAAAGGCCAAGCTGGGCCACTATGTCCTCTCCTGACTTGGAAGTGTTATTCCTGGTCTCCAGGAGTTCCAAAGCTCTCTACACCAATTCCACAAGATCCTAGTGACCTGCCCTAATAATCCTAGATTTGCTGAGGAATTCACATATACATTCCCAGAGTACTCTTTCTACAAAAGGAGAGTCTGCATCTAAGGAGACTACAAAATGGGGCTTGCTGTTTATGAGAAGGCAAAGCAAAGACTGAAGTACCCATTCTCATTCCTTGCATTTATATAGCACTATACATATTAAAGAATGCTATCATTTTACTGATCTCTGTTTTGTCTCCACAATTACCCTGTGATATAATTAGGGACAAAAAGATTAACTTTTCAAACTAATGAACCTAAAACTCTGAAATATTAAATAGCTTGCCAAAGTTAGCTTCTCATAAACATGGACACAAAAATCCTCAACAAAATATTAGCATATCAAATCTATCAATATGTAAAAAGAAAAATACAGCATGAGCAAGTGGATTTTAAACTGGGACCTTAAGGCTGAAGTTCTCTAATGTCTGAAAATCAATCAATGTGATCTATATTAATAATACAAAAAAAAACCACATTATTATATCAATTGATGAAGGAAAGGCATTTGATAAAATTCAACATTGATTCCTGATAAAATCTTTCAGCAAATTAGAAATAAAAGGGAATTTTTTTCAACCCAATAAAGGGTATCACAAAAACCTACAGCTAATATATTTAATGGTAAAAGATTGAGTACCTTCCCCTTAAGATGGAGAACAAAGCAAGGATCTCAGTTATCACCACACACTGCCTTTATAGGAAGGCCAGAAAAAGAAACAAAAGGCATATACATTATAAAGGAAGAAATAAAATAGCTGTTATTCTAAAATGACATGATTATATATGTAGGAAATTCCAAAGATTCTAAAAACATCTTCTAAAGTTAATAAGTAACTTTAGCAAGATTGCAGGATACAAGGTCAACAGGCCAAAATCAATATATTCTATATAGTAGGAATGAACAATTGGAAGCTAAAACTTTAATACATGTAATTTATATGTAATTTAATAAATGTAATTTATACATGTAAATTAAATACATGTATATTTAATTTATCATAGCTTCAAGAAAATATTTAGGTAAATCTAAAACATGACAGAGTCTATATGCTATTACAAAAAGCTGATGAAAGAAATCAAAAACCTAAATAAATATAAAAACAGTCTTCATGGATTGGAAGAATAAAAATACTAACAATGTCAAATATCCCCCAAGCTAATCTAGAGATTTAATGGAATTCAAAATTGCAGAAAGATTTTTTTAAGGTACAGAAATGTTTATTCTAAAATTTACTCAGGAGGACAAAGAATCTAGAATAGTTAAATCAATTTTGAAAAAGAAGAATAAACTGAGGAAATCATATTAACTAATTTTACAACTCGCTATATAACTATAATAATTAATACAGTGTAGTATTGATGAACAGAGAAGTCAAACACAAAGATCAATGCAACAGAATAGAGAACATAGAACTAGATCTCACATTGAAAAATGGCCAAATGATATTTTAACAAGATTACAAGGACAGTTTAATAGAGAAAGGATCATGTATCTAACAAATGTTGGATCAACTGGGTATCCATATGCTCAAAGATGAACACCCTGCCCCCAAATAACCACATTTTTTCCTTATGTCATGGAACTCTTTGCGGAAATGTCATCTTCTGTATGGGACCTACGGGACCACTCTATTTAAAAGAACATCTCTTCCTGCATCCCCTCTCTTCCATTTACATCTTAGTATTTCTCCATGACACTTATCATTTTCTAACATAGGATATTATTTATTACACATTACACTTATTTCCTGTCACCTCCAACACACACATGGATGTAAGTCCTATAGGGCAGAACTTTTTCCTGTTTTTCTCACTAATGCATCTTCAATGACTGGCACATAGCAGATTCTCAATAAAATTTGTGGAATGAAGAAAAGAAAACAAAGGATGGAGGAAAAGAGGTATGGAAGGAGAGAAAAGGTTAATTTCTCATTAGGTAGGTGAGGAGAAGGGGAGGACAAGGAGGTATCACTGGAAGAGCCAGTGACTTTGCAAAGGCCAGTAAACTAGAGCAGTGTGAATGCTCAGAGGGAAAGAGCACAGGATACAGCCAGAGTGGGCACTGGGAACCAGCCTTAAATGCCATACTGAAGAATTTGGTCTTTATCCTTATGTTAAAAGCATTTATGTGGCTGAGAAACATGAGGATATTTGTGTTTTACAAAGATCACTCAACCCAAGTTTGGAGAGTGAATTGGGTGAGGTCAGTGGGCTAGTTAGGAGGAAAATTGTAATCTAGTAACTAGCTATTTAAGCAGAAGTGATAATGGCCTGAACTAAGAGTGTGGCAAAACTGGCAGCGCAAGGGGGCACATATTGGAATTATTAGTACAATCAGTAGGACTTCTATTAAATGTAAGAAGGGCAAGAAATCAAGGATGCCTCCTGCCCCACCCACCCACAAGCTTCTTCCTTGTGCCTCTGGAAAGGAGAGCACAGATGAATAGCTTTAATGGAAGAGGGTGAGTCTAATAGCAAATCACTTACAGTGTCATGAACATACCACTCTTTTGCATCTCAGTTCCTTTAACCATTTGAGGCTGTTATGCCCAGGATACCATTTGTATCCATCTTGCTGACTCCCATCTTGCTTAAGTTTCAACTCAGAATGCTGACTCAGCTTTTAAATATTATTAAAAAGAACTTGGTGTAACTGTCAAAAAAAAAAAAAAAAAGACAAGATGTAGGAACTGATAATGCAGTTATTGGGCAGCTTATGGATATGGGGATTGATCCCACTTAAATAGCAGACATTTTCCATACCAGCAGGAGATTTCTGTCCCAGAAATATGTTATTATAATGTAAGTGGCCCACAAGGCTCATACTGTTATAATGAGTTTACACAGGACTCACTGAGGTTATAAAAATAAAAATATTAGCTTTGTACTGTCAATGCCAAATGTAAATACAGTCCTTCTATGTGTTCCCTTGATATTTGTCCTTGAGCAAGTTTCTCAACCCACTTTTGCCCATGTCTTCTTATCAAAAGGGACAAAATGATCTCTAAGGGCTATTCTAGCTCCAAAAATCTGGGATTGTCCTTTTCTTTCTCCATGAAGCAGTCAGAACAGGTATTATGCATATTTTACAGATGGAAAATCAAGGCTCAGAGAGGAGACTTCCCTTTGAGCAGAACTGAACAAGAGCTGACCTCTTCCCACTCTGATACCTGCTCCCATGAGCTGCCCATCATCCAACAATTGCAACATTAAAAACAATCATGTATTTAAAACCAAAAGGATAACTTGATTTTAATTAATTTTTGAATTTTACCATGCAATAACAGCAAAATGTTTGCTCTTTTGCAACTAAGATAAGCTTACATTTAGTCTGGGGTTTTTGGTTTTGGTTTTTTCTTTTTCTTTTTTTTTTTTTTTTTTGGTTGTTTCAAAATAGATAAAAGTGTTGACCCAAACTTAACTACTATGAGAGTTTGTACCTTTTTTTTTCTTATAAGAAATAAGAAAGAAAATTGGGTGTTTATATAGATATTTACATTAAGGGGATCTTTTAAAATATTTTTAAAATGTTAAATATTGGGGTGCCTGGGTGGCTCAGCCAGTTAAGTGTCCGACTTCAGCTCAGGTCATGATCTCACGGTTTGTAAGTTCGAGCCCTATGTTGGGCTCTGTGCTGACAGCTAGCTCAGAGCCTGGAGCCTGTTTCAATGAGTCTGTATCTCCCTCTCTCTCTGACCCTCCCCTGCTCATGCTGTCTCTCTCTCTCTCACTCAGAAGTAAATAAACATTTAAAAAATTTTTAATGTTAAATATTAAGAGATATTATAGAGTATTATTGGTTTTGAAAGTGCCATAGTGCCATAGTTATTTTTTAAATATGTGAGTTGTATATGTTATGTTTTTAAAACTTAAATCTGATTGTAAGAAAGTTTCATAGTAAAAAGCAATATTATGACAAAAATGAAACTATGGATCCAGGAAGCTCAGAGAACACTAAAACTCTACACTTAGGCATATCATATTGAAAATGCAGAAAATCAAAGGCAAAGAGAATCTTGAAGCAAGCCAGAGGTGGGAGAAATACCGTTTTCATAGAGGAGCAAGGAGAAGAATTATATCAGACTTCCCTTCAGAAATCATGCAAGCAAGAAAGAGCAAAAAAAAACCAACCTGGAATTCTGTATCCAGTGAAATTATCCTTCAAAATAAGCTTTTACAGAGAAATGAAAATTAAAAGAATTTGTCACCAATAGATCTGCCTGGCAAAAAATGTTAAAAGATACTCTTCAGAGAGAAGGAAAATGATGTAAGACTCAGATCTACATAAAGAAAGAGTATTAGAGAAGGAATAAATGGAGGGGCTTCTCAGTTCCCTTCTCTGAGGTCCAGGAGCCATGCCTGGCAACTGGACCCCCCCCCCCCAACCATGCTGAATAATGCAGACACAGCATAATGGATTGTTGGCTGAAAAAGAAAGAGGAAACAACTTGCTTTCTTTTTTTGTTGTTTTTTGTTGTTGTTGTTGTTTTTTATTGAAGTACAATTGACACACAATATCATATCAGTTTCAGATGCATAATGATTCAACAATTATGCACATTAAGAAACTCTCATCACAGTAAGTGTTGTCACCATCTGTCACCATACAAAATTACTAAAATACAACTTGCTTTCTTGACCCGCAGCTGAAACCTCTGCACTTAAAGATACAGAACTGTATATAACAAGCTCCCTGGCTCATGGAAGATGGAATCTACTGCAAAGAAACTGAACAAAACTATAAATGAGAAATGAAAATTTCTTATGATGATGAAAGCTATCTTCCTTTCAAATTTATAGATGCAAATAATGCACCTTATTATGTCTTATGCAACGGAGCGTTTTCATATATCATGATGCCAATTAAGTGGTGGTATTATTTTCTAATAATTCAGAGTTTAGAAAAAATAATTGAGTATTTTAAGTGTAGATTATGAGCTCTTTAAAAGTAAAAAATTATCACACTCTTCAAAGTAGAAATGAAAAGGCCACTGAAGTACCACTTAAGTTCTAATAAGGTAAATATCACTCACTCTAACCCACATAAACAAGAAACCCTTTGGGATCCTCCCTTTTTATTTTATAAAAAGTAAAAAGTAAAGATTTCTTGAGACCAAAAAGTGAGGAAACCATTATGTTTTATCCCTAGTTATGATAGATTCATTTTTTGCTATGACCGCACAAAGTGCCATTTTTATGGAATTCCATAAACCTATGCAAGCCTCTGACTAGGCCTAGGATTTTGGTGCTTCTAGCTCAGGAAGCCAGTTTTTGGTGACCTACAGGACACTGACCACAGTTAGCTTTTTTCCTCTTTTTTTTTTTTAAATTAAACCACTTTATTGAGGTATGATTGACATAAAAAAAAAAACCTGTATGTGTTTAATGTATACAATTTGGTAAGTTTAGATATATGTATATATCTTTAGAAAAACTCTATAAATAGAGCTAAATTAATCACATCTATATAAATATAGTTCACTACAGAGCTAATAATGTGATAGGATAAAGATACCATTTCTAGAGTTTAGTGTCATGATTACTGTACGCCTACCATTTAGTCAGAATGGATTTCTCATTTTTGTGTTCTTCCAATTACCTTTACTATATTCCCAAGGTCTCAATCATACCTTTTGTTCTATTTTTCTTATTTCTTGTAGATCTCCACTCTGCCCCCAACACCCTTAGTCCCAGAGCCATTAGTCCTCATTTGCTTTTAGGTCTGCTGCATGGTTTTTTCTGTAGAATAGAAATGTCACTACTCTCATAGATTGAATTAATTATTCTGAAATCTTTTAAATCAGTTATTGCTACAAAAATGCTATTTAGCCATAATGCTGCATAACAAGCAACCCCAAAATCATAGGGCAACAACAAATATTTATTGTTCTCACTCTACTTCAGACTATGAGTTGAATTCAGATCTTCTCCATGTGTCTTTCATCTGGTGCCAGCAGCTATGTAGAGCATGCTTTTCTCATGTAAGATGGCATAAAATGGAGAGAGAGAGAGGAAGTGACTGCTCATGCTGCATCCAAATAGTAAGGAAATGTAATTCCACCTACTCTAGGGGAGGAAGAGATGCACCACTCCCAGAGACAAGCATTCACTTGGCAAAGACATAAATGTTTATGTTGATGACAGGGAAGATGTGAAAAATGGGAAGCAATAGTCTAATCCATCATAAAAACCGGTCTTATGCATCACTCCTTTGTTTTGGTAAAAACATTCTCCAGTAACTTCCTAAGAAAGGGTGTGTAGTAGGTAAACGTTGTGAATGAGATATGTCTGAAATGTCTTTATTCTGCCCTCATACCTAATGGATAAAAAAACCTCAAGAGCCTTATTCCATTATCTTCCATTACCTAGTGTTGCTAATGAAAAGCTTCTGCCAGGCTGCTCCTTGTTATTTTGTTGTACCCCTTTCTATCTCTTTGCACATTTTCTTTAACCTTGATGTTCGAAAATGTCTCAATGAGACAGATATAATTTTTCCTTAATTGTGCTAAGCTCTAAGCCTTCTCCAACTACCAGACTTTTTATACATCTTTGGTTGTGCAACTCATTTCTGACCTCCTTTGTATATACTGTTTCTAAGTATAGAGACTGGAGACCTATCCCCCCTCCATGTGTAATATAGTACAGGCTGCTGCTCTCTCCAGTTTGCTTCATCAGTTTTCTATATTCCATAAATTTCTTGAATTCCCTTGTCCACTAATGATCTTTGTCCTGCTCTCTTCATGTTGTAGAGTTATAGTAATTAAAACTTTTGGAGGGGCTATGATTTTATTGGTGGCTCAGGAAGAGGAGATAATAAAATGGTGTACCTTGGTTAGTCATTATGTTGACTCATCAGTTTCAATATTTTATTTTACTCAACACCTTTTATATTTAAAGACAGACTATTTAAAATATTTGTAAAATGTCTGGTTATCCCATAGAGTATAACATTTTTAAGTCTATTTAAATAACCTGGCTGTATTAGTATCCAGATTGTCAAAGGTAATTAGTTTGGATATGATTTATTTACTATACAGGAAAATTTGAAACATTACCAAAGATAGCCAATTTCTCTAAGGTAGCACTGTGTAATAGATTTTTTGCAATAATAGAAATGTTCTCTGTCTGCATTGTCCAATATGGTGGCCACCAGCCACATGTGGCTATTGAATACTTAAAATGTGGCTGATGCTATTGAGGAACTGAATTTTCCATTTTATTTAATTTTCATTGACTTAAATTTAAATAGCTACTTGTGGCTAGCAGCTAATATATTTTCAATGCAGTAGGGATCTAAAATTTTATGAAATTCACAAAATTAGAAGTGTTTTTAGATATATGTTACTTATGTAAAGAAAATTACACCTGAAAGGTATAGACATGAGAAATCTAATAAGATATATAGGTAGTATAAAGTCATGTTTATGATTCATACTAAAGAATATACTTGTTCACTCAGTATATACTTTAAGAGCACATACCATGTGAAAGGCACTCTATCAAGTGCTCGAGTTACAAAAATGCAGACATACAAGGCACCTGCCCTTAAGGTCTTTCAGTCCACTGACAACCAGACATGCAAACCAACCAGTCAATATAATCAGAATATTGCCTTTTCTCTCTATGCTGGGGGTTTAAAAGAGAGTGTCCAATTATCCAGGACATGCAGCTAAATCCTTACATAAGAAGTAGCATTTGGATCCTGACTCAAAGCTGAATAAGACTTTCCCAAGAGACTAATGGGTAGGATACTTCAGGCAGAGAAAGAACAGCAAGGGTACAAGTGTGGAGACAGTTTCCAGAAAGGCAAGCCATTTGTTACTACTAGAACCATTCTAGAGTGCAGTTGTGGGAATATCAGGAGATGAGACTGGCCAGTTAGGCAGGGGTGGCAAATCACTGTAATGTGAGACGAGGTACACCACTCCCAGTGAGAGTATATAAAGTATAATCCTGACATAGTATAGACTTGAGGAGTTGGAAGAATAGTGAACTTACTATATGTTCCAACCCAACCCTCTCTATTCACTCAGTCAACAAATATTCTTTTTATGTTCTAAATATTTTTTACACTGATCATTGGCTTTAGGACCACTTTTTGAGTAGCTGGTAACAAAGTATATTTTAACCCAGCATCAACTGAAATGAGAAAAATCCGTAATCGGAGGACTCTCACCCAATAAACACATTTAAAACAATGATGGATAAGATGTCATTACTACCCAAAGCACTCTACACATTCAATGCAATTCCAATCAAAATTGCACCAGCATACTTCTCAAAACTAGAACAAACTATCCTAAAATTTGTATGGAACCACAAAAGACCCCGAATAGCCAAAGTAATGCTGAAAAATAAAACCAAAACGGGAGGTATCACCATCCCAGACTTTAGCCTCTCCTACAAAGCTGTCATCATCAAGACAGTATGGTATTGGCACAAAAACAGACACATAGACCAATGCAACAGAATTGAGAACTGAGAAGTGGACCCAAAAGTATACAGCCAACTGATCTTTGACAAAGCAGGAAAGAATATCCAGTGGAAAAAAGACAGCCTTTTTAACAGATGGTGTTGGGAGAACTGGACAGCAACATGCAGAAGAATGAAACTAGATCATTTTCTCACACCATGCACAAAAATAAACAACATGGATAAAGGACCTGAATGTGAGACAGGAAACTATCA